TAAGTCCTGTAAACACCGTGGTCAGGCTCTGCACAAGTTTTTCATAAAAAAGCCTGCACCCGCTAACTTATTTGGCATTCTATTTCATCTCCGTATGACCCTTACAGCCAAATGCTGACTTTTGAAGTTAACATTTCACCCTGATGATATGAGTCAGCCCTGCATGTTGCGGAAATCCTCCTTTAGGCGCTGGTCTGGTCGCCTGGGCTCGCGGAGCGTCCTCTGAACGAGCGACGCGCTCTTCAAGATTTGCTGCCTACCTTTGACCCGTCTATGCGAGTGTATATGTGTTGGATGCCATTTTATTTGCCTCGGGTAGCTGCAAATTTTCGTCTTCACAGGCAAACCCACTTAATTGCAGTTGAGAGATCGAGAAAGTGACAGGTTGACCTCATCAGGCATGGCGCACCGGTGGTGGAAGCGTCAAATTGTCGTGACCGTTTAGTCAAGTGAAATGAGACGATATTAGGGGCCGCCTCCTCCTGTCCCAATTGTACTTAAAATCTAGCGATCTGCATTCTTTAACCGATAAAACATTTATTTTGTTAAAGCCTCTGTTTTTGCTAGTCTCTTTATTGATGCCATCACGAGGTGAAATGAGGAGGGTAAAAAACATTTTACAAAGTTTTACTCGAAAACAAAAAGACTTTCCGCAAATACAGATTTGTTTACGAGAAAAAAACCTGAAGGGAAAGTGGAAAGAGTGAGGATTAAGGCGGCGGCTCTGTCCACAAATCCGCCCCTTTTGGAGTTGACACGGCTGTAAAACGACGATGCGAAGGTCCTCCTTTTTCCTGCCACTTTACGACGTCCACGTGGAGTGTCAGTTGGTGTGCACAGGTTGAGCAGGTGGCTTAGAGCTGCTCCAGCTACTTTCCTGCCTCCTACCACATTTCATTTGGCTGTCAAGGTCTTAGTTCCGGGCAATTTCGGTTTCAGCCACACCGGTGCACTATAAAACTCCCACCGTAGGGTTTTCAAGGCTTCTCTCACTCACAGGACCTGCAGTTGAGCGTAGGAGAAGTGGTGAACTGGAGAAGAGGAAGAAGAAGAATTGCAGCGGTTCCTTTACCATAGGGGAAAGGAAGGAGGACGTTGCCAAATAATGGGAGGAAGACTGATTCAACTCACATGCTGTTTGGATCGAGACACAAGTGAGATCACAAAGGCTACTCCGCCTCTTTTATCCTCCTCCTCCTCCTCCTCCTCCTCCTCCTCCTCCTCCTCCATCTTCTTC